AGCTGGTGGAGGCCGGAGGCGGCCTCGTGGCGCCCGGCGGGAGCCTCCGCCTCTCCTGCAAGGCCTCCGGCTTCACCTTCAGCAGCTTCTCCATGAACTGGTTCCGACAGCCGCCCGGGAAGCAGCCCGAATGGGTCGCGAGTATTCGCAGCGATGGTAGTTACACCGAATACGCGGACGCCGTGCGGGTCCATGTCACCGTGTGCAGGGACAACGGGCAGAGCAGCCTCTACCTGCAGATGAGCAGCCTCAAGSTGGAGGACACGGCCACCTACTACTGCACCAAGGGTGATGATGCTGGTGCTGGTGATGGGGAACCCCATTGGCCAACGTCATTGCCCAGCGCCTCCTCAAGCCATCGCTCTGCCCTCGTGGCCCTCCTGGAGGCCTCCCAGGTCAGTCCAACCCCCTTCAACCATCCCCCCTTGGCCACATCCACGTCCCTTCCGAGTCTCCACAGGCTTGGAGGTGGCCTCAAGACCTGCGGCTGGAGCTGAGGTCCATTTTGGAGCTCCATGGCTTCCTCCTTGTGCCCTTTGGGGACCTTTTTTGGGGACATTTCCTCCCGTTCTGGCCTTGTCCTCCTCTCCAGGAGGCCAAGACCTTGCCAGGAAGGTGGACAGACCCCGTTGTCTCCATTCCCTTGTGAGGGAAGCCTTTCCCCTTCGCCAAATGCTCCCTGCAAGCCAAAACCGCATCAATTCTCCCCAAACTGGGCCTGCCTCCCAGGGCCACCAGCACGTGGCAGCACCTGGGGCCTCTCCATCGCTCCCTGGTGGCCAAACCCACCGAAAACACCCCGATTTTGGTGCAAACCCCCCGGGACGGGGACGGGCTGGCGCCTTGGGTGGTGCAGCGGGGTACCCCAAGATGAGCAGGACCGCAGTGCGGGGGTCCAACCCAAAGGGCCTTGGTTTGACCCCAAACCCACCCCATGGGCGCCCACCAAGGCCCTAGTGATGGGTTCCAAGACGAGGGTGCTCCAAGACAGGATTAAACGTGATTCAAATTGATTAAAAGGGATTAATTAATGGTTCCAAGGGGTCATTGGCACCCACTTGCTGCAATGGAGCCTCTTCCACCCCAAATCCACCCCATGGGTGTCCACCAAGGCCCTAGTGATGGGTTCCAAGATAAGGGTGCTCCAAGACAGGATAAAATACAAATCAAATTGATTAAAAGGGATTAATTAATGGTTCAAAGGGGTTTCTGGGCACCTACTTGGTGTAATTTAACGTTTTCCACCCCAAACCCACCCCATGGGCGTCCACCAAAGCCCTAGTGATGGGTGCTGAGATAAGGGTGCTCCAAGACAGGATTAAACATGAATCAAATTGTTTAAAAGGGATTAATTAATGATTCAAAAGGGTTTCTGGGCACCTACTTGGTGTAATTTAATGTTTTCCACCCCAAACCCACTCCATGGGTGTCCACCAAAGCCCCAGTGATGGGTTCCAAGACAAGGGTGCCCCAAGACAGGACGAAATGTGAATCAAATTGATTAAAAGGGATTAATTAATGGTTCAAAGGGGTTTCTGGGCACCTACTTGGTGCAATTTAAAGTTTTCCACCCCAAACCCACCCCATGGGCACCCACCAAAGCCCCAGTGATGGATTCCATGACAAGGGTGCTCCAAGACAGGATTAAACATGAATCAAATTGATTAAAATGGATTAATTAAAGAGTCAAGGGAGTCTTTGGGCACCTACTTGGTGCAATTTAATGTTTTCCACCCGAATTCACCGCATGGGCGTCCACCAAAGCCCTAGTGATGGGTTCCAAGACAAGGGTGCTCCAGGACAGGATTAAACGTGAATCAAATTGATTAAAATGGATTAATTAAAGAGTCAGGGCAGTCTTTGGGCACTCATTCGGTGCAATTTAACCTTTCCCACCCGAAATTCACCCAACCAGCGCCCCGGTGACCAACACCAAGAGGGCAACGACGGCGGGGGCGACCCAACGCGCCCCCGGCCCGTCGGAACGGACGGATCAAGGAGCGGAGCGGGCGCCAAACGGCGGGTCCCCGGGGGGCGCGGGGGCCGCTTGGGCGCCCAAGGGTGCCGCCGCGCGCCGAGGACGGCGCGACCCCCCCTTTTTGAGCGGCGCCGCATGCAAATGGGCCCCGGCGGGCGCCCTTCAAAGGGGACCCGGGCGCCGCCAGGGCCACCCAGCGCCGGTCCCCGACCGCAGCCACCATGAGCTCCGCTCAGCACGGCCTCGGCCTCGTCCTCCTGGGCCTCCTGGCCGCCCTGCCAGGTAGGGCGCTCCGGGGGGACAAGGGGGACAACGGGGGGTCCCAGTGGGCGCCGCGCCGCTGACCCGGTGTCCTCTCGTTGTGCGCAGGGCTGCAGGCGGCCGTGGAGCTGGTGGAGGCCGGAGGCGGCCTCGTGGCGCCCGGCGGGAGCCTCCGCCTCTCCTGCAAGGCCTCCGGCTTCACCTTCAGCAGCTTCGGCATGMRSTGGWTCCGACAGCCGCCCGGGAAGSRGCYCGAGCCCGTCGCGGKTATCARCAGCGGTGGTGGCACCGGCTACGCGCCGGCGGTGCAGGGCCGATTCACCATCTCGAGGGACAACGGGCAGAGCAGCCTCTACCTGCAGATGAGCAGCCTCAAG